CGCCGTCACTCACTCACGGTCTGGGACACCTTCAGCTCCTGGTTGAGCCACTGGCACAAGATCTCCGACATGGTTCGACCGCGGCCTCAGCCAGCCGGCCGGGAAACCAGGCCCGCGGGCTCGCGTCCCCGTCGCCAAGGGCAACCTGTTGCCAAGGAAGCGTATCCAGGGGAAGAGGGGCCGCGGAGCCCGGGCGCGGAGCCCAGGAAACCCTGCGCTGCCCCCTGCTGGCGGGATGACTGCACTGCGCGGGCGCCCGCTCCCGCGAGAGGGGGCGGCGGGGCCTCGAGGGGCCCGGGAGGCGGGGAGCAGGGGGCGCGCTGCGGGGCGCAGGCGGGAAGAGCTGTGGGCTGAGCCAGGGCTCTTGGAAAGGCGGACAGAGAAGGAACACGGATGGGAGGGGGGCCATTTCTCTTCTTGTTTGTCTTCCGAAGAAACCTGTTGCGGATCTTGCTCTAAGGGCAGCAATGTGGTCTTCCATTTGCAGATCGCGGGCTGCCCGGGAAGCACAGAGTCTGTCTCACTCCTGCTTCAGTGCCAGGCCTGGAATCGGGCCTGACACCCGCATTCAGTGATTTGTTGTTGTTGATGGTGATGGTGGCAGAACTAGCCATTAGGATAATTCATCTCTCCACATTGTTTTGAGACATGGATATTTAATGAACTTTATTCTGGTCAGATTTTTTTTCCAGGTAATAATTTTAAATTGCATTTTGACAAAGACTCTCACTGTGACCAACCCTGAGTCAGGCTCCTCTGAGGCCTCTTCTCCCAGGGGTCCCACCATGAGCTCTGTCCTTGGCTCCCTTAGTTCAGTTTAGCAAGAATCCTGCTGGGTCAGATTAGGGGAAATCTCCCATCTTCATATCTGATAAATCTCCTCATCTCCCACCTTGGGTATCTGATCCCTTGGGCCTGCTTTCAGCAAGCATATTGTTAAGCCAGTTTAGCCAGAATCCCTCTTCCCTATCATGCAATTACTTCTTAGTAATTTTCCAACCACTGGCTCCAGCCTTGGCTATGAATCCCCACTTTTCCTTACTGTTTTCCGAATGAGCCTCTATGTTCTCCCCACTGTAAAACCCCAATGGTTCCTTGAATAAAGTCTTCCTTAATGATTATAACACATGTCAGAAAAATTTTCCTTTCACAATTTCTAAAAGTTTAGATAAAATGATAGAAAAAATTATATACATACATATTATGTATACATAAATTTATATGATAATAAATAATGCATATCACAAATATAAGGAACATTTTCCTCAAAAGGCCTGGAGGTACCAAATTATGATTCTTTAAACTGTAGGAACAATAACAGTAACGTCCTACTAGAACCAAGGTTGTGACCAGACAACACTTTAGGACCATTTTACTGTTGGCTCTGCTTAACTGTTAGATCTCCCATCCCAGGAGTCCCCACACACCCAGAACAGCAGGCATGACTGCAATGGCAATTCTGAAGGAGGTTTGTTGCCAAAAGAGTTGGGACTGATCTGTTTGACATGTCTCACCTTAGAGTTTTCCAAATCTGGAAGAATCTTAAAAGCCTCGTGGCTTGGGGATTGCATCTAATAAAGTTTTATTCGTTAGAAACACGTCACCCCTGAAATGCTTCTAAGGGATGGGTAGGTGCCTAGCAGTGGCCTCAGAGGCACTCCTGCTGCTTGTCATTCTGGTGCGATTTTTAAACCGAGGACTAGGACCACATTTAGTAAGAGGTTCGAAGTTCTCATTCCAGCCTGTAGAACCTGGGGAATAGAGCCAATGCTTTCTAGATGGCTGAGAATATTGCGTTTGGGGAAGGGTGTAAAATGGTGGTGCATCCACTGCCACAGTTGCTCCAGAAGAGAATGAATGTCTGAGCTCATAAACCGCCTACAGAGATGGGCTGTTATCCCCACATTAAAGCAAAATACTCTGTGCCTACCTATAGGGACTGTTTGGTTGCTGTTTGTTTCGAAGGGTGATTTGCAGAGTTTGTCTTTGGAGCCCAGCTCCAAACAACATAATCTGCCAATGTGGTATTTTGGGAAAGAAGTTTATATACAGGATTTAGATAAATAAAGATTTAAGGGCCTTATAAAAGAAAAGGCAAAATTCTTCATTTCATAAAAAGATGGTGATTTTTTTTTTTTTTTGGTCTGACATTAAAATATTAGTAAAATTTTGAGCTATTACTTAAATACATGCATTCATTGACTACTTTGGAAGGAAGCAGCCACTGGAGGCTGATTGATTAACTACATGATAATACAATTGGAGCTAAAGATACTATAGAAGATTAGGTTGAGAGTCATGTGAAGAAAGTTATTTTTATTTTCCTTGCTACCACAAACTGTATTTTAGTTGTGATGCATTACTTTACATTCAGTTCAGGTATCATTAATTTTTCAAACTTCATCTGTTCACATTTTTAATTTTTTATTGCTTCCTTTTCAAATGTTATAAAAAAATTAGCATTTCATAATCTATTCACTGGATTACAAAAATTTTTACTGCATTATATTATATTTTTATTTCAAGGAAAATCAAAATACTAATTTTATAAAGAATATGATTTTAGAGGTAAAATAAAATATATATCTTGGGAGCATTTTAGCCATATATGTACTCCATGAAATAAGGTATACTATAGTCACATTCCCTCTTGATTATTTATTTTTTAGGTGTGGTTGTGTGTGTGTGTGTGTGTGTGTGTGTGTGTGTGTGGATGGGGTGGAGATGGTGTCTTTGAATGGCCAGAGCAATAACATAAAACTACATTACCATGGAATGTTTTATAAAACCAGAATGATAATTTCCTTTTATTCAGCAAGAATGAAGAAAGTGTATGCTTCATGTTGGGTAGTGATTATTGGACTCTTGAATTTGATAGGCTGGGAATATTCCACAGGCAACTTTGAAAGCCAGTGTAAGGCTGCAAATTTTCTGTTCTTTTCTTTTGCAAGTAAGAAGATTAAAAAACACACTATATCTTCTCTGGTCATCATTTCACATAAGAAGGAACAGTTCACACCAAAAGCAGCTAGAAGCACAAAATCTGAAAATGAAGGACAGTCCTTTAAACTGAAAAATAGGCTGTATGAAAAGCCCCCAGGAGGCCATAATAGACTTGTAAATGTCTTCATAGGTTGGGCCTGTTATTGCCAAACTCTATCCCAGAACCTGATACCCAGGCAGTACCATGTTAGGCTCCACGATGTTTGCAACCCTTCCTTCCACACTGGAATGTTGGCGAGATGGAAGGGGTGTGTGTGCGTGTGTGTGTGTGTGTGTGTGTATGTGTGTGCGTACATGCTCAGGGCAAAGAAAGTATCTGTGGAGGCCTTTTTCAGCCTAATCCAATTTCTTCTGTTAGGGTATCACCTATCTTCCTAAGCCCTTTGAAAGAATAAACAGATTTCAAAGGAAATGTTTTTACGGCCACCATGGAGATGACAATCTTTGATAGAATTTGAAGATCTTCTATGGAATCTATACAATCCACACTCACAAATTTCACCTGATCATTACACAATACAGGAGAGAGTGGGCCTTGATAAGTCAAATACCCAAGAAGAAAAAGTTTTCCTCCAGATTATGTGACCTCTGGGACACTGCTCAATTCTTGTAGCACTAATCTGGGTGATTGAAATCATGCTGTCTTGAATTGTATTAAGAAGTCATATCCAAAGTAAGGTCTGTATTTGCTTTGGGTACTAGCAATTTCCAAATCCATTCCTACATGTTTGATCTGAGCATGTAATTAAATTATCAAATCCTATACAAGTTTGAGAAGTTTGGCTGGATCAAGCTGTACCAAACATTTAAATGAAGCAGGAAGTTCACTTCAGTTTCCTAACTTAGTCATCATGTACTATATTTCACCAAGTTAACAGGTCTTCAAAAGTTTTATTTATTCTAAACCACCCAGATGTGACAAAGGCAACCAGTGATTAAATTATAATGAAAATGCATCTGTATTTGTTAAGAGACTTGATTTTTTCCATGCCTAATTAGTTTTTGGAAAGGGAAACCTGGTCAACAACCAGACAGGAGAGAGCTCATTCTGTGTTTCCTTTTTCTATTGCCTTCAAACTCAAAATAATCTTTATGCTAGAATGGCATATTTTGGAGTGGCATATTTTGATCTCCTACAATCTCTGTATTTAAAAATTACTTTAAGTTAATTTGAAATACTTTTAGTGAAATGGCCTGTGATCACCTAATTTCCAGAACTTTGAAAAAAACCTACATAAGATATAGTGAACTTTATATAAGATACAGTAATCTTACCTTAGAGCAGTATCTCCTAGTATTTCCTAAAGTGAAGTCAGGCACACTATGGAATACACATGGGGATGTAGAAAATTTATAAATTCCATTTACACCTTTTTAATTGATATTTTAAATTTTGGATTTTTTAAGGTATTTTCAAATATTCATTTTATTTATTTAGTAAATATAAATGTTGTGGTAGTTCATGTCTATCTTGTATAAATAAACAAACCAAGGTCTTCTCATTTGTTTTTTTAACTGATGCAGTGCATGATCAGGAAAAAAAATCTTGGTAACTGCAAATGTAGAGGATCCTCTTTTATTCATTCAGGAAATATACACTGAGCATGACAGGGCATGACNCTGCAAATGTACAGGATCCTCTTTTATTCATTCATTCAGGAAATATATATTGAGCACCCACTCTATGCAAGGCATGATATTAGGCACAATGATGAGACAACATTGACAGATTGTTTTAAGTTTAGGAGCAGCTCTGGGTTAATGGTTGAGAAGGATTTCCTTCTATAGAATTATGGTGGGCAGCAACATCTTTTTAAAGGAGAAGTTGTCTTGTGTTAAAGCAAGAACCTTGAGCAACATGTTTACAAACTGAAGAGTTCTTGAGTCATAAACAAGGAAGAGTCTGTGGAAATGGTGGAAAAAAGTAGACAATATAAATAAACACAATTAATAACAATTAAATAAAAATTGCCTCCAGAATACAGTGATATTCCAAGAACCCTAAATTTGGTTAGAATGCCTGTGAATTTTAAAAATCTGTTTGGTTTTATTGCTTGGATCTGAAGAACTTGTTAGTCAAATATTAAAACACACACACAC